ACACCACACTTCCATTTGAAAACTTCCCCCTGTTCCGCTAGGGAACACCTCCTTCTTCTCCTGCCCCCTTAATCTTTATTTATTTATTTAAAAATATTTTTATTGACTTCAGAGAGGGAGAGAGAGATAGAAACATCAATGATGAGAGAGAATCATTGATCAGCCATCTCCTGCACGCCCCGCACTGGGGATTGAGCCTGCAACCCAGGCATGTGCCCCAACCGGGAATCAAACTGTGACCTCCTGGTTCATAGGTAGATGCTCAACTACTGAGCCATGCTGGCCAGGCAGTTACTAGTAATCTCTCTTTAAAACATGATCCTGGCTTTAGTTTGCAAGCATGTTGTCCTCTCATGCCGGGGTCCAACCCCAGCGGGTCCAGGGGTCCCCAAAGGTGTGGATGGAGTCGGCGAAGAAGGAATGACACGGAGACGGAGTTCAGTTGATCAGCAGCCTAGCCAGGATCTCTAGCCAGGATCTCCAGCCAAGTTCTGGTCTGGATCTCCAGAGAGGTTCTGCTGTTTATTGTCTTGTTACATCCGTATTTATCCCAGTTGATTTTAATCCTGTCAATTTCTATTACAAAGGTTAGGGCGTTTCTTATCTCCATTCCAGGGAGTAAAGATTATGTAGCTTAAGCATGATTGTTTGTAGTGATTAACTACCCGCCTGGCACTTAGTTAAGGAGTTTCATCCCCTCCCTGACTTCAGGGAAAAATTCCTACCTGGGGAAACAACCTTTCTAGGAGAGGCATCCCCTCCCTGACTTCAGGGAAAAATTCCTACCTGGGGAAACAACCTTTCTTGGAGAGGTGACCTTGGTTAAAACACACAGCGCTAAGGGGAGCAAACATATTAAGAACAGTATGCTATATACGCCAGGTCCCTTGAAACATATGCTGTGCAGATGTTTCTTTCCTGCAGCGACTGTGTCAAGCAGCAAGGATGGACCGGCTTCCGGCACTCTCAGCTTCACCCTTCCTCCGAAGAAAGTCCATTAGTCATTCCTGAGGTTTACAAAGAGAATAAAACAAAAGAAGACAAGAATTGTCTAAATTTAAAGTGCTGGAAAATCCAACATTTTATTTACTACATTTTGGTGACTACATAAATGCTGAAACATTTTAACACTGAAAAGCATGATGGCATCATCACTTGCTTTTTTTCTTTTTTTTTTCTTTTTTTGCTTAGCAAACACAGCAGATGATATTGCACGGCATAAAGTGAGAACAGTAGCGAAGCTTAAAAAAAAAAAAAAGAAAGAAACCTTAATGCAGTACAGGAAATACTCATAAACAAACCAGAATAACGCCTAATGCATTACACTTTTTGTTGCTACACACAAAAATACAGAAGAAGCATTGGACAGAGAGAAAGAGAGAGACAAAATATTAGCAAACAACCATAACTGGGTACAATAATCATTTCATCTGAAATGTAGATGCAACGTAGAAACTACCACTGCTTTCTAATTGACAAAGAAAATGACAGCAACATTTGTTTTTTTATAAAAAATCTAAGCCCCTCGTGGTTAGGTTGTTAAATTAATTTAATTATTTATTTACTTTTTCTCCCTCCCTCCCTCCCCGTTGCTAAGGAAGAACTCCCTCTGCTCTTGGAAGATTTTCTACTCTATTGACCTTTTTTTTTTCCATTTATTTTTATTTTATTTTATTATTTTTTTTTACCTGATGATTGTCTTAGGCACCCTCCTTACATAATAAACCATCAAGCTAACTTGAACAGGGAAAATGAGTCACACTCAAACAATAGCTAAAGTCAAAGGTGTACTGAAAAGAGAAGAGGGTTAAGGGACGATCTCAGGGAGTGACAGGTGGGCTGACTTCAGAAGGGATGAGAAAACACAGGGAGATATGAAGACGATCACCGAAGCAAGTGGAAGACAATGTTTTAAAGTTTATTTTGTTAAAAAATACTCATCACGTGGTTCCAAAGGCATATCTAAAATGAGCCCACAATGATTATGTAATAAATGCAGAACATCCACCAAAAAATCGAGACTAACACAGAAACAGGAAACATGACCTTGTGCATACCACTCTGTTCAGCGTTTCACCGCTGAGGGTCCAAGTCTTCTCCCGCCACCACTCTCCTGGCTTTCTGTAACTCACTGCACAGCGTTTGCATGAAACACACATGATTAGTCAATGCTGACCAACAGAGCACTGAATGGTCCTGCGACTCAGAGCAGACGTATTGCCCTATTAAAATACATAACGAGTACAAAAATGCTTCTAAGAAAGTGTAACATTTGACCCAAAATCTAAGCCCTCCCTTTCCTTCCCCACCCCAAACACCCCTGCAAAAGAAAAGAATGTAAATTTCTTGTATTGAGAGGAAAAGTATTTACATCTATGGATGTGTGTCATGTAGCTGAAGCAACTCTTACTTCAGCAAAATAGCACGGGGTCTGCTGAGGATGCTGCGAATCGGCTGAGAAGTCTGCGTGTGCTGATCTACATTAAATTGGGGCCAAGTATCTGAACAGCCCACGTGAAGGGGGCCCGAGGCCGGGGCCACCTCTAGTGTGTGGAAATGAAAACTAGTGGCAAGATGAAGAGTGAAAAGAGACAAATTCAAGTAGGCCTGGGGTACATTCGCCAGGGTTCTTTGGCATTTGAGGAGAATTGGTTAGGAATTGTGAGTAGCAGATTCCAAGAAACAGATGTGGGGTTGGAATATGTAACTGTGAAATATTTTCCTTAAACTGGACTAGTAATTGGGGCCGAGCAATCATGTTTTGCTTCTTTCATGAGTCAGGGCAGATGGGCAGGAGCCAGGTCCGCTGCCCTCAACCTGGACTTTCTCTGTAAGGGTGTGAAGCCACTGTATACTCCTCTCAGCTCTGCCAAAGGAACTGTGTTCATGCCCTGCCCCTGCCTTGAAGCAATTCAGAAACTTGGTGAAACTGAAGAGGATTTCCAAATTCAAGTTAGCTTGTCTCTTTGAGTTTTTACACTCTACTTCTCAGACCCGTGCGAATGGCAAAAAAAAAAAAAAAAAAAAAAAAAAAAAAGCAAAAAGCAAAGTATCTCACAAATGCCAGTGCTTTGGAACATTAAACAAGTCTTAAATTCTTTGGAATTTCAGGTCTAACCTGCAAGGTAATCTTTTCTTTTAAAAAAAATTTAATAAGTTAAAGGAAGAACACGAATAATGCCTTTCTTCTTTCTAAGTGACAAAAAGGACGACCTTGAAACTCTCCCTTTGGCATGTACACGTTTTCTGAGGGGGGGCCTGGCAGTGTTCACAACACACACTGAGGTGCCTGCTAAGAAAAGCTAAAGCTACACCCTGCAGTGAAGAGAAGCTCTCGCCTTCAGCTCATCTTAGCATCAAGAACAAAAAGATTGTAACATAAAAGCTTTGGCCGTTTGGATTCTACTATATACATTTTAAAAACTACACAGTCATAAATTAAAGCAGTGATTAAATAAGCTCATATAAAATGTACTTAAATTAAAAAAAAATCACAGCACATTATAGAGAAAATAGAAACCAGTTTCACAAAAAAGAGATTATATATATATTTATATATATATGTGTGTTTTTTTACCCTGTGGAAACAAATTTACTACGAAACACAAAACTTTATAAGTAACCATCAAAATGAAAAGCATTTCTTATTCCATTCTTGCAGTTTTTACACAACCCTTAACCCACGCGGGGAACATATCCAGAAATTAAGTCTTCCTTGAGCAACAGAGCAGTTCTGCCAAGAAAACCAACCCCAAACCGAAGCGAGGAGGGGGCAGACATCCCAAACATACAAACTACAAAATAAATAAGAATTATAAAGTTGTGTGTTTTTTTCAAAGTAACCTTAACAATTATCAAACTAGTAAGTTCTGCCTTATCACATAGACTCTCTATACAACGTAACCCTAAAACGTTATTACTATGAGGTATTTGGAGGAATTGGTAAAAGTGATGCACGGCCTGCCTGGTGAAGGGACTCGGTGAGGCGGGGGGACCTCAAAGGGAACGAGGAGGAGGAGCTTTGGTTTCTCAGCAAGAAATTGGGGGAAAAAGTCATCCTTTGGTATCAAAGAAAGTTTCATTGCATGGTTGCACGGAAAAAGCACCACGGTGAATAATTATTCCTTTTTTTTTTTCCTTTTCTTTCCATTAGTGGCCTTTCTAAGAGGCTGAGGTATTCAAAGAGTATAAGGTGAGAGAGGTCAACAGCGGTTTAACACTTTGGTTCAAGCAAGGCACTCGTCCTAGGAGTTTACAAAGTTTGCAACATGTTTGCCTAGAGATTTACAAGTAGAACTAGCAGTCATAAGAGTAGTGTTTCCTAATGTTGTCATTGTTGTGGTATCATTATTATTAAGAATGAAGACAAGTTTACACACTGAGTGAAGAGTGAGGAGGGGCCAGGAGAAGGGAGAAGGGTCGGGGTGGAGTTCCCTCTGCAGACGGAGGCCGTGCATGAAAATATCTTTGGTATTCTTTGGTATCATATCAATGTGATTAAAATCACCAATGGAAATCGAGTGAGGTAGCGTCTTTGGTTCACACTATAAATAGTAGATCTTTACACTTTTTTTTTCTTTTTTTCTTTTCTTTCTTTTTTTTTCTTTTTTTTACACGTGGAAGTAGCTATTTCTTACCTTCTGCTTCTTTGTCCTTCCTATTTAGGAAATAGTTACCAAATGCACTGTAAAAGCTAACCACACCACAAGAATAATCCAGAAGGCCAGTCGCATCTCAAAACGGCCTCTGGTGTTTGAATGCACCCTAAACAGGTTAATAGGAAAGGGAGAAGTGCTTTCTCTTTGTTTGCTAAATGCATAGTTTTCATCCTTTATGTACAAAGAAGGGAGGATCTTTTTGCGGGAAAATGCCTTTATAGCTCATGTGAAAATGTCCTAGGACTCTTTGGTATAGTAAAGTTTGGATTTAACCTGCAAAGATGGGTCATTCACCTGGGGTAGCAATGTGTGTGGGGGGGGGGGGGGGGGGGGGGTGCGGGGGGGATGGGGGGGGAGTGGAGAATAAGTCCAAACATAGCATAGTGCTTTTACTTTTGTTCCTGGAAAATTAATTATACTTTTTGGGGGGAAGGAGGCAGAGTGAGTGACATGTTCAGTTAGAACTTCCCCACACATTTTCTTTGGTTTTGGGGGCCTATTCCAGCTGCATCCAGGGACCGGAACACTCAGTTCTTGGCACCCAGAATTCTTTTACCTGAACATTTACCGAAGTCTGGGCTTTTGGGGTGTCCAGACCTCCCACTCTTTCTCTTGGCTCCCTTTCAGGGAAGCGTTTGGTCATGAGAGGACATAAATGGTTTATGGCCAAAACCAGTCTAATTTCCATTCTGTGAAGAAGAAAAAAAACAAAACCCAAAATGTGTTATTTGAAGTGCAGTTTTGGAATAAATATACATACAAATGAAAGAGTGAGATGTGTTTTTAGGTGAATTTTGTTCAGGGGCCGGGAAATGATGGGTGAACAAAAGCATGTGACCTTGGTTATGTTGGGTTTAGAACCTGAGCTGTAAATTAGTGAGACAGGAACGGAAGCATTTCCTCTCTCTGTGGCAAGTCAGGAGCAGAGCAGAAGCAGTCCTACTTGATGGGATACGTGTATTGCTTGTGAGAAGCTGAGTTTGTCCATTGTGATTTCTCAGAAGCAGAGGTTGTGAAGATGCTTAAACAGTCAAGTAAAACATTGCTTTTCAGGCTTGGATTTGTGCATCTGTTTGTGAGAAAATATATCTCTAGGCCCTGAAATTGCATAATGGGTGCACATTCAATGCTGGTATGAAAATTATCTTTGGTGTTAGCAAATAGAATCACTGGTTATTTTTCAAAAAAAGCATGGTGAGAATATTAAAAATGCAGTAATATTCTTTGAGATTGTGTCTACACAGTACCAAAAGAATTGGTTGAACACATAAAATGCAGTTAGATTAACTGGGCAGGGTCATGTAGTAAAATCAAAGCAAAAAAAAGTGATCACCTGAATTCTACTTTTGTTTTTCCTGGGGCATTGACTTTGGTAAGATTGGGTGGAGACACAGCTTTAATTTCCCTGATTTTAAACTTCTCAGGTTTTAAATAAATAAGGTTTTCCTCCCTCCTAAATTATAAGTATATTATGTAGCTGTACCCATTGTCCCCTCTATTCCTGGAAAGAGAAAATGTTAATCAGTTTTTTTCCTTTTAGTTTATGTCATTAACAAGATTAAATTTTTAGCAAATCTTGGAGGGTGGCCATTTAAATGGTATCTTTTAATAGCTGTATTGTAATTGTGCCATGTTTAGAAGGGAAATTTTTAAGCTGGAATTTGGGGCGAGAGAAAGAAAATGGACAACATGTGTCAAGGCAAATACGTCCTTTCATGAAAGGGGGAGTATGTGCCAGCTTCCTTTCCTCCTCCAGCAGACACGAAGGAGACAGGTGGCTGGCTGGTGTGGCCTCCTCTCTCCAGGTGCCTGCCCCTTCTAGACCTAGACAAGATGGTTTAATTTTTTAAAGCATTTTAATGACTCTCAATAAACACCTTATAGTTGAGATAACATTTAACTTTATATTCCTAGTTAGATGTGCTAATTGACCAAGGCTATGTAGTTCTTTCCCAATAGTACAAAAGACATCCACTTATATGAGTGATAATTCAATGGAATTCAGAGAGAATTTGGGGACGGGGGGGAAAGCAAATGATTCACTTGGGTACTACTAGTACAACTGTATTATCTTTTGCTTTTTTCGTGTTTTTTTGTTTTTTCCTTTTTGCCTTGATTTCTATAGGCCTGGTTAAGTGATTTGGGAAAATAGGAATTTAAATGTTTATATTTGGAGGTTCAGGTCTAGTTTTTATATGTCCCTGTTAGAGAGTGGAATCTATGTTATAAAATTTCCAGCTTAATGCAGTAGCAGGAAAGAATGTGGTATGCTCCGGGGGCTATGCTGAAGGAAGTAAACAGCTGAAGACTCTGGCTTTTTCTACATCCCACCGTTTCTTGGTTGGGACCTGCTATTTTTATTCATGTCCAAGTCATAAAATGTTTGAGATTAGCAATAAAATAAGTTTGATTGTATTGTTAAAATTATTCAAATATTAGATAGTTCATTTTAATAATAAAATCGGTCAGTTCTCTTTGAGTGTTTATAAAATATTTTTAAAAGGTATTTGGTGTCAAAGGCATGAAGCAAATTTGTCAAATTAATCTAAGTATGCAGTCCTTTAATTCCATGGTCTTTTTACCGAAAAGCATTACTTTAAACAAATTTTCTAATTTAGTTACCTGCCCTGTGTGAACTTAGTTTTCTAGTTTATAAATGGGATCCTACTTTGGCAGAATCCCCAGGTTTTCCCAGCTATAAACAGATTCTGGAATCATGTCATATGCCTACCTAAGTGACATTTATGGGTCCCGAAAGGGAGTGTGCCACCTGGGCGTACGTGCATCCTGCATCAAACTCTCTATTATGGTAGCAATTGCTTCCCTGGAGCGACATTCTTTCTTGCCAGTTCTGAAAACAAATATTTCAAATGCTTTAAGAGTCATAAATAATAGTCATGATTCTACGTGGCATGTGTATTACAGCTAGATCAGTTCATATGTATAACTTTACATAGTATCTTGTGTAAAAATAGCTTTGGTTATTAAAATCATTGCAATAAAATACCTGCACTATAATATTAAGTGTGTTCTTTGGTACCTAGGTGATTTTTTTTTTAAATGGATGGACTCTTATTTCATTTCTTAAAAAATATCTGAACAGTCCTTAACAAACAAAGAGAATGCACGAGTTTAGGTGTCATTCAAATTTTCCTTGCTGGGTTTGAATCTGCATTTAGGTTGTGGGCCTGGCAGGTTCAAACAATAGGCTAGACGAGCAACATCACATCCTAATCCAATGAACTCAGACAACCCCACACTGGTGGTTGCTCTCCTACAGCACAACCCTTCCTGAAGGCCCGCCCTGCCTATGTCCCTGACCACTGGTAGTGGTGGTGGTGGTGGTGGTGGTGGTGGTGGTGTGTGTGTGTGTGTAGTGCACGCACCCACACGCAGTACTGAGACACCATACACCTTTGTGGCGCGGTGGGACAGGTGAGAAAGTCTGATCTTAAAAGATGTCCACTCAATGGCTCAAAATCACTGCTCCAAACCACGAAACAGCCAAGCACAGCGAGAAGGATCGTGGATCGAAGGTGTGAGACCCAGTGGTGTTTTCCTGCTCATAACTCTTCTTGCCAAGTCGTCGCCCCGCTGAAGTGTGTGTCTCCGAACAAAGTCAGAATGCAGGTGAGCTAAGTCTTTGGTTTCTTTGGACTATAAATAACACTTTTTTTTTTCCTTCTTCAAATATTTCTAAGTATAAACCTGCTATGTTGAGGTCCTTGTCTTTTAAAAATTTCTTTTATTTAAAGCTTTTCCACCGAGGTTTTAGTTTGTGGTTATTCCTTCATGCTTTGGTACAAGTGCTTGATGAAGATGAGTTGCCTGAATTGGAGCTGCCCTCGTCCTGCCACTTGTCCAGGCTCCTCCGCCGCGCGTTCATGAAGAAGTTGCTGACGGTGCTCAGCTCCAACCCCAGCTGCTGGGAAATGGTGATCTGCAATTCTTTGGATGGACGCTTGTTTTCCTTGAATATTGCGTGTAGAGTTCGACGCTGGACGTCTGTGAAGACCAGCCTGGGCTTTTTGGGGGTGTTGCCTCTATCCTTCCCGTGCTCTTGCTCTTTTCTTTTGCACGCTGCAAAGAAACACAGAGGCCGTTAGAACAAACTGCCTGGGAAGAGCCGGAGTGGACAGGCGCAGCCAAGAAGATGTGTTAGCCATTCCACTCGCCTGCTTTCTGCCTGCTGACCTCTGATTTTAGCACCATGGTGGGCTGGCAGGGAAGTGTGACAAAACGATGGAGAATTAGGAGGAGGTGGAGCTCTGGCAGTCCTGGCTTTGAGGCTTTGACAGTATCTGCATTTTATCTGTGGCAAATCAGTTAACCCTACCTGGGCCTCGAAGTCCTCATCTGTAGAATATAGGGTTTGGGCTAAACAAACTTATTGTTTGAATTTTTTATCACCATCTGCAAAATGAATATAAGAATACCTAGAGCTGACTGGGTTGTGGTAAGGATATAGGAAATACTATATAGGGTGTTCCAAAAATATGTATACCCACGCTTTGACTAATTATAAAGGCAATGTGGTGTCTGGCTTGCTGTACTCTGATATGAACTCCAGCCGCACTGAGAGCCAGGTGGGCATCTTCCTCGTGGAGGTTGGGACTGTTGCCCTTTCATATCCCCTCAACCCTGTAGCTGGCTGCCCGGCCTATTGCCGTCTCCCGCTCCACATCCTGGCTCTTTGTAGTCTAGGTTCTCAATTCCTTACGAGATGGCTCACCATCTCTGACTAGATGCAGCCTCTGTGCTCTCCCCAGGTAGCCCTGCTCCTCTGCCTGTCCCTACCGTTCGTTCCTAACTGCTCCAGATCCCAGATTTCAGAGTTCCCCTAAGACAGCGGTTCTCAACCTTCTGGCCCTTTAAATACAGTTCCTCATGTTGTGACCCAACCATAAAATTATTTTCGTTGCTACTTCATACTGCAATGTTGCTACTGTTATGGATCATAATGTAAATATCTGATATGCAGGATGGTCTTAGGCGACCCCCGTGAAAGGGTCGTTCTACCGCCAAAGGGGTCGCGACCCACAGGTTGAGAATCGCTGCCCTAAGACCTTAAGTGCACATTAGCACATATTAGCTCAGCAATCAGATCAGCTGGAAAGCTACTGGGTGAAGGCTGAAGAAGCTTCCAGTCTTTGGAGTCCAATCTAGGGGTATCCAAGTATTTTTTTTTTAAATCATATGCTACTTAGTAAAACAATGATTTGAGTGTAGACTCCCTAATACTATTTGTTTATAAATTATATGCATGTATATATACATGTGTACTACTATGTTATGTGCATTATAAGGCATATATGAAATATAGGAAATTTGAAAAAGGTAAAATAAAAATAAAGAGACATAGGAATTCTCTTCTACAGATGCATCAGCCTGCCCATGCCTTCCAGTGCATTCACCCCCCTGAAGGAACCACTGACCTAGTCAGAAAACACAGGGTAAGAATTTCAGACTGAACATGAGGGGAGATCTCACTCATAAAAGATAGATTTGGGGGCAAGTAAGGCCACATGGTACCTTTCATGACATACGCCGTAGGTCACTGGCTACATCCCTTTCCCAACATGAGAGAACGGCATCAACACAATGGGAAGTATTTATTAACTGCATAGAGCTATATATACCAAGCCAGCTGAATTTCCCCAAACAGAGTCCCTCCCCTACAGCCTACAGCCCTCCTTGGACAACTAGATTAAGTCCCTGCAAAAACAGCTGCCTAGACCAACAGTTCTAGTTAGTCTGAGTCAGCCCATGTAGACACAGCTTTATACAATACTAATGCACATGGCTGATTCACTCACATTCAAAAGTGAAGGTAACACAGGCTTTGCTCTTAAGGAGGTCAGTCACATAAGCTAATAACTGCAAGAGCAGAAAAAGGTATACAGGAGATTACCTCTGCTTGAGGATATTAAGGAAGGCATCACAGAGGAGGGGGTGCGTGTACTAGGCCCTAAAGGATGAATAGGAGTTTGCTAGCGAGAGAAGTGGGACAAACTCATACTCAGCAGGGACAGCAGCATCCTAGAAGGACTGATAAGTATTAGGAGACTGGTATTCGTGGGGCAAGAGTGCACGCAGGAGGAAAGCTGTGGAAGACAAGGCTTCACAGGTAGACAGAGATCAGAATTGAATTATCTTGTAGGTAAGGAGGAGCTATTGGAAGGTTATGAGTAAGGGTGTAGTGTGATTAAATTTGGGTTTAGTAAAACTCCTCCAGTAGTGTCACAGGGGGTTGAAAAGCAGCAAGATTAAGGATAGGGATGCTGTGGTATGCCGCCTCAACCCCCTCAGAGCTAAGGCACTCAATCTTCCACCTTCTGGGAGAGTTGGTGGCTGGCGGCTCTTAGCTGAAGTCCATTCTTGGAATTGCCCTTGGCCAAGGTTATGCCACCTTGGGGTGGGGTCGAGGAAGAAGGGTTGGTGTGGATGGTAGAGGTTGAAAAGAGTGGAAATGTGTTGGTTTAAGGTCTTACAACCTCAGCCCCTTGTATCAAGTTGGGACAACTGTGAAGGGTCACCCAGTTCCAGAGCACCCTGTAGGACTGATTGAGGCTACTCTTGTAACCACATTGACATTCAATTTCTCCCTCTGCTTGGTCTTACATCTGCCACCCCCAACCCCCACAGGGGCGATTCCCCATAGCTCTCTCCGATAAACTTCCTGCATGCACGTTGCAGAAAACCAGATCTTTGCCCCAGGAAACCTAGCCTAAGATGGAAGCCATTAGAGACCCATTGTAGTGAGGAACCCAAATTATATAATGCAGCTGAGGATGCAATATAGGGAGTAAATCCAAGAGCCTCTTGGAAGGTAGAAGAAATCAAGAGGACTTAATGACAACTTGGCTGGGTGGATGGTGTTTAGAACAGCTTCCAGGTTTCTGGTTGGATGGTAGTAAGGAGGCCATTAGGCGATGCAGATGGGGAAATGCATTTTACAAAGGCAGTAATCACTTCTGAGTGGGACAAATTTGAAGTGCTTGCTGGACCTTTTGTTAAAGATCTCCACTAGGTGGTTGTCCGGAGGACAGGAGGATATATGTGGCGTGTAGCTAAGGGGAGAGGTCTGGGCTAGGAATATAGACTGAGATGGTAAATTACATACGACACACGCCTGGGGAAAAGTAAATACCTGAGTGTTGGGTGCAGACTCAGCTTACTTATCATTCAAAAGGTAGAGTGAAGGGAAACCACATAGATATCCATTTCCCACCTAACCAGGAGGTATGCTTGAATGACTTCTATGTGGTCCTTGCACTTGGAAGGACTGAGCAGGCTAAAGCTACTCCTGAGCCAGCATTTCTCCAAGGGCATCAGAGGAATATCTCAAACAGGACTTCCTTGGAAAGATGGTTTGCAGGTCAAGTACACTTACAAAAACCTCCTCAAAATTCCTAATACGTGTTAGCACGTGTAATTCTGTTTCCAAAATTTTCTTAACCAGAATCCTTTTTGGTGGGGACTGTTTATTAATGTCTCACACAACACTGCTGTTGGGGAAACAGTTTGGAAGTTCCTGCCTTGAGCTCTCAAGCATTGCAGACATCACAATATTAGAACCTGGGAGTAGCCCTCGCTGGTTTGGCTCAGTGGATAGAGTGTCGGCCTGTGGACTGAAAGGTCCTGGGTTCGATTCCAGTCAAGGGCACATGCCGAGGTTGTGGGCTCGATCCCCGGTGGGGGGCGTGCAGGAGGCAGTCCATCAGTGATCCTCTCTCATCATTGATGTTTCTATCTCGCTCTCCCTCTCCCTTCCTCTCTGAAATAAAAAACAACAACAACAAACAAAAAAACACCTGGGAGTAAAATTCCCCCAGAGCAGAGAGCCTGGCTGACTTGTTCTGTATTCCAGGGCCTCCTAGCATAGTGCCTGGCTCTAAGGGGAGCTCAGTACCATGTGAGTACTGGAGGGGGTGCCTGTGACTAAATGCATGTGGTATATCTGGAAAGAACTCCGTGTGGAAGTTGGAGTCACTGAACAAGAAAGCAGAGATATTGGTAGAATAGAGAGTGGACTAAAGCTTGTTGACAACTAGGGGCCATCAGTCACCCTCAGTCAGTGTCTGTGAAAGGAATCCACGAGCCAGGCTTCAACCTTGGCCCTCCCTAACTTTCTCTCAATCCATTAATCTGGAGAGAGGCAATCATCCCTTTAGAATAAAGGGGTGGAGACTGAGGTTTCTGATTGGCTGTTAGCATTTGAGAAGGTGTATAAAAACCTCAGGCACCAGAGGAGAAATTCAGAGTCCTCCAGCTCTGCAGTCAGCGCTGTGCTTCTCCACCAGATCTGAGATCTGAGCCCCAGCCAACTCGGTCACAGCAGACGTTTCTGCAGGATTTTTTTCTGAGCACCTTGAAGATGAGCATCCGGACCCCGCCCACACTCCTGTGGCTGGCAGGAGAGAGCCTGCTGAGGGACCAGGCCTCAGCCATCGCAGCTCTGGAGTACCTGCCTGCTGAGCTCTTCCCGCCACTGTTCATTCAGGCCTGCCGGAGGAGAATGCGGAAGCCCCTGAAGGTTTTGGTGCAAGCCTGGCCCTTCCCTGTCCTCCCTCTGGGGAGCCTGATGAGGCTGCCTCCAGTCATGGTCTTAAAGGCGGTGTTGGAGGGGCTTGACGCTCTGCTTGCCCAAGAGGATCTCCCCAGGAGGTGGAAACTGCGGGTGCTGGATTTAAGGAACATGGATGTCAACCCCTGGAGAATGTGGTGTGGACACAGCACCTGGAAGTGCTCGAGGACAGGACCAGTGGCTGTGCACTGCTCCAGCCCCAACATGGAGCACCCCTTGGCTCCCTTGGAGGTCTTCCTAAACCTTGACTTCAGTGAAATGGCCAGGGTTAAGTTTTTCATGTACATCATCCAATGGGCCCAGCAGAGAAAAGGGTCGGTACACCTGTGCTGCAAGACGCTGAGTTTTTTGGAATTGCCCTTCCAGAGGGCCAGGAAGGTCCTGGATAGGGTGCGGCTGGACTGCATCCAGGAGGTAGAAGTGGACTGCACCTGGGACCTGCCCACCCTGGGGACATTTGCTCGCTACCTGGGTCAGATGAGTAACCTGCAGA